AACGTACTGAGTACTTCCTGTGTGTCAGGAACTGTTGTAAAGGGCTTCTCAATATTGTCACTTAATCCTCACAACAAATTTATTAGATTTGTCATCATTTTGTAGAGGAGGAAACGAGTTCAGAGAGCTTAAGTAACTCGCCCAACCAATTTATTAATGGCAGAATTGTAACGTGACCTCAGGCAGTGTGGCCCCAGAATCTAAGCTCTAGATTATTCTGTCATCCTGAGAAAGCATCGTGACCCTGGGTGGGAGGTGGAGGAGAAGGCACAGGCCAGAGAAGAGGAGGAGAGGTTACAAAAGACAGGCTCCTGCTGCCTTGCCCTGGAGCAAAGCTGTGCGTAGTCATGGGACACCCACAGCACGCCGGGGTCTTTAAAATATCCAGAAAACTCTATTGCTTTTTCATATATGAAACTCAAGGTGAGCTTAATTAAACAGTGCCGAGGATTTCTTGTCTATCAAAGGAAATGATGAAAGAATAGAGTAATCGTGTTGGAAGTACGATCTGCTGATTCTGCGGCGTGCAGAGAGAAAACAACACACTCAGAGGCCAGATCTGTGTGGTGGAGAGCAGAGAGAAATAAAAGTATGAGAGCTGCTGGCCTTCGTTGAAAGGATAAAGGGTTGCTGATTGGTATGTCCTTTTAGACTTTAGGGAAGCTTTAAATTTAAAAGGGCGTTGCCGCTTGCTGACGCGGGTGAGGTCCTTTGCTTTGTGTGGAGTGGCTTACTTGTGCTCAAGCCTATTTACGGTTAGGTTTGCTGAGATATATTTAGGTATAAGCTAGAGGCCCTCTTCCTAGGAGGAAAAAACGCAGAGGCACAAGTCAGCTGGCTCTGGGGGCACGATTCAAGGCCTGTATCTTTTATCATGGGTTGCCTCAGTTAATTAGCTTTCTAATTGTGATTTATTTTAAATTGTTATTTGAAATCCATGCCCAGAGACTGTGTGGAGGTGACATATTACTTGAGAAGTAATGGGGATTTGGTTCTCTGCCTTCAGCTCTGAGAATAACACTGTTCAGAAAAGCCTTGTTTCTGAGCTTTCCTTTCCCACCAACCCTCATTCTTTTCCGGATTCCACATCACACCCACAGAACTCACCCGGCGACTGGAAAATCTGACCATCAGGAACCACCCGTCTCACTTTGCTTTCCACCTTGTTTTATTCTGCTCTCTTTTCACCTGGCCTTTTACTGGATTTTTGCTCCCTCTTTCTTCTTTTTTTGTTTTTAAGATGAATATTTCCCTTTCAGATCTGCAGTTTACTCCACTTTTGTCCTGGGACCTTTGGAGTCTGGCAGCACTTCAGCCCTGCCTCCTCCCGGTATCACCATGGATTAGATACCTTGCTCACCCAGTTTCAGCCTCTGCTAAGCCAAACCTTGGCATTAACCTGCTGGACAAGCACCCTAGCTGGGTGTACTCAGAACTCACAGATGAGGAACGGACATTCCCATCCCGTGAGCCTGCCAAGTCTGCCAAACTTCAGTGGGAACAGGTTTGAAGGCAGATACTTCTTTGAGTTTATTCTCTTGGCTCCCTCTCTTTCTCCCCTATCTAGACTTCTTGATGCTGTTGTGCACCTTTAATCCCTTTAGAACTGTTCTGATCTGAATCCCATTCTCACAGTAACTTCCCTTTTGACTGGATGACAGGTATCTGGTCTATTACACCTAAGCATGGATTTCTTTGAAAGATATTAGTTGATTCTGCTTCCCACCTTCAAAATAATATGTGTGCCTTAACAAGCCATCTGAATAAGATTTTCTAACTCACATACTGAAGGTGCCTCAGTGCCTTCCTAGAACAAGTCAGGATGTAAGTAAATATGATACAAAACAAAACAAAAAGATAACAGCAGTAAGACCTCTGGTGTTAGGAAGTCTGCTACTGTGGCACATGCTGTGACTGTCTGCTGGTTGTCCTCTGTTTCCTTTTTTCCTGGGAACAAAGTCGCTAAGCTGAGGACTATGTTTCTCAGAGCCCTTTGCAGTTACATGTGGTCATATGACTAAGTTTGGAACAATAGAGTATTTGAGGATATGATGTGTTCAAATACTGGGTCCCTTGCAAATTAAGATGAGCTTCTAGTTCTTGACTTTGTCTCTATCCACCACATCCTACAGCCAGAGTTTGGATAAGACAGCAACTTAGTTTGACTACCCGGATGGGACACCACCCAAGGAGATGGCAGAGCCCCCAAGAAGGAAAGAACCTGGGTCCCTGAATGATTTCATAGAGCAGAACTGCATGGAGATACATTTCTATTTTATTTAAGCCATTGCCTTCCTGGGTCTTTTTGTTACAGCAGCTTAGCATTTACAATAACTAATACACAAACCTATAGGGGAAAATGTCTGAATCCTTCCTGTGAAGAGCTAGGGTTTGGAGACCTGGATTCTAGATATTTGTCATTGGAAAAGTTCTAAATCTCCATCTTCTCTAGGAACATAAGTCAATTTATGGATGGAGCCCTTTTCATCTTTAAAACTGTGGTTTGCAGAGTTTTAATGTTCATCACAATCACCTAGAGGGTCTTTAAAAACACAGATCGCTGGGCAACATTCCCTGAGTTTCAGATTCAAGAGGTCTGGGAAGAGGATCAAGAATTTGCATTTCTAACAAGCTCCCAAGTGATGCTGATGCTACTGGTCTGGGGGCCACTCTGAGATCCCCTGAGTACTCGTCAGCCTTTTCTCCAACAACATCTTGAAGAACACTGAAGCCAGCACTGGTTTGATGGGAGCATTGTTGAGGCCCTGCTCCCAAACCCACAGCTTGCCTCTGAGTTCTCCTGGGGCTCTACGGGGCAGTTGCTGTTACACACTGAGAGCTTCCCAACCAGGTCCATTAGCCTCTCTCTTTTGCTGCCTGAGGGCTTCCTCCAGCACCAGGGCATCCTGCTCAGCCTGCTTGTAGAACAACCCAGACATGCTGGGGATTTGTTGCTCTCAGTGGAAATCTTCGACCAACAAGGGATGCTTTTGGTAGATGGATACCCAAGCTTCCCCTGCCCTGAGCAGGACAGCTCTGGGACAGGTTCTTTGTGATGCTGCAGACGATCATAAAGGAGCAGCCCTTAAAAGCAGGAGATCTGGAACCGCACTGCCTAATTCAAACCCCAGGTTTGCTGCTCACTGGCAAATTAGTGTCTTTGTGCTCTAGTTTTCCTACTTATTAAATCAAGGTAATAATAGTTCTCACCATATAAGGTTTAGAGGATGACTAAATGAGTTAACACATTAAAAGTTCCTAAAACTGTGTATACATATAGTAAACTGAACAAATGTTAGCTTTGTATCACGTTTCTGGGGCCAGGACTGCAGAATGATGGGAGAGGAGGCCTCTAATCCTCTCCAACCCTGAGGTACCTTCTCTTCACGTCAGGAACAGAGCAGCCATCTCTCCGCCACTCACGCTAAAGCAGACAGCTGGCAGGGAGCTATGTGTTCTGTGATTGTTTAGTGCTTTCTGAAAAGTGGAATGACTCTCCCTTGTCCTTCTGTTAGCCTGTTTTCCTTGTTGATTTTGGTAAATTACCAGCTGAAAAGAAATTTTTAAAGAGAGGCATGCAAGAAAGGACAGTCTTTATCATTCAAAGTCATTAGCAATGGAAGCTTTCTAACGTAGTTTCTGCTGTTCACAATCCACAGCATGTGATAAAGGAGAGTAAAAAGACTGTTTTCTTTTAAAAATATTTTTAATACAAACAATGCATCATTTCTGGAAAAAGTTTGGGGAAAAAAAGATATAAAAATCAGCCATAATTATTCCACTTCCTCCTAAGAATTTGTACATGGCCTTATACAGCTTTCTCAACTCTCTCTATGTGTGTATGTGAAAGATGGTAGGTAGGTAGATAGGTAGGTAGGTAGGTAGATGCAAATGAGATTGCACAATACATGTTGCTTTATGACATTTTTCACTGAATATAGCATAAACAGCATTCTGCATTTTGAAATATTTTCCCACAACATTGTTTTTCTCTAATTTTATTCTCAGAAGACGATTTATCTTGAAATCAAAAGGGTACCTTACTAACTAATGTCTCTGAAAAGAAACAAACAAGAGATAAAAAATGAACTCTATAGATAAATATCCATACGAAGCTGAAAGTGATTAGCTGAAGACAGCTGATCGGGAAATGCTTCCCAAATAATTTTTTGAGTGGAACCAGGATCACCAAACCCCTCTCCAAAACTACTAAAAAATAGCTTTCAAAGGGTTTTTCTTTTTTAATTCCCTCTGTTGGCCCCTATCCTCCTGTGGGAAGACTCACCAAAGGTTATGATAAAAGACATTTTATCAGCATTAGCAAGGTGAGTTATGAAGTTGATTAGATAGAAAATGAACCGAATTGTAATCTGTGAAATAATTCTGATTTCAATTGTGGGGAACCGGGGAGGCAAAAAGTAGAGAATGAGCCAATAGTTTGTTCTCTAATTTAAAAGCTTTGAATGTGAGCTAATTACACAGAGTACATTCCTTTGTGGAACCCGAGAGAGGAGGGGTTATTTTTGCCTCTTTCAGGTACGTGATGTAGCGGACCACAGGAGATTTGCAGATCCTTCCTCCACTCTCAGATGACAGGGACACACTGTTCCACCCACTTCCCCAGAGAGAGAAGCTGCCTATGTTCTCCTTCCACGTACTGTGGCAAATCAAATGGCAACAAACCACCAGCCCCAAGCAGCAGAACCTGAAATTGATTTCTAACATTTATAATTAGTTCCTAAGTCAAAAAAAAAAATGTACCAAGTGTACTAACATATTATACAAAGGTTTTACTGGAAAAGAAATATGGATAAAAATAGATTAAAGGATTTTAAGTCTGTCTTTGAGTAGTGGCTACCACTAAACTAATGTAAAAATTATTTAACCGTAAGTAGTCCTTTGAAGAGCTTGGAAAGAATGAGGGACCCCATTCATGTAAAGTCCTTTTCATATCATTCCAGTTGGCAAGTAAGCAAGAATGCATTCCAGGAGAGGTTGAGGTGATTTGGGGGACACGATGGTCCCCTCCCTGTCCAAGGAAACAGTCTGGTTGTGGAATTTAAAAGGAAACGAAGGCAGGCATGGGGACTTGGGGTCATGTGGTGGGGGAAGAGGGGATATTGAAAAATTTGAAACAGAGAATTCACTTTGCATATGGAAACAATTGGAGATGTAGCTCATATCTTTAAAAAACAAGACAAAATCCAAGTGGTAGGAAAGGTGGGAAATCTTGTTTCAACATACTTTGATTGCATCAGATGTAGAAGTAGAATATAAGAAGAGAGGGTGGGAGAACTGGACACACTTGTTGATAAGTGGAACATGAATCTGTGGGCAGAGGGGAAAGGAAAACATTACCTTAGATGGGAAAAATCAGACCTAACACTTGCTGAGGATCTAAATGTGTGAAGTAAGCAACAGCAGGGGAAAAGACAGTGTTAAGCATCTTTGATTTGGGTATGGAACTGCTTCTATATTATTAGAACTGAGAGAAGAAAGAGGAAAGGCTTTAGAATTGCATTAAACTAAATAATGGTTAATTAAGAAAAGATGCCAGACGTTCAGTAAGCTGGGGAACTTGAATCAAAGTCATCGTGATGGTGGAATCTGAATCCATTACTAAAATGATAGACAAAAAAACCTATTTTTATTTATCCTGGAAAAAGCAGAGAAGTAGAGGATATCATTAATGCAAACTTCTTTACATTAATTTCTTTTTTTCATAGAAAAAGTAGAGAGGAGTCAACTGGCCTCCTTACTTTCTTAATGGTAGATCAGAGCTGAAGCTCATACAATAGGTGGTATCTATCCTGGGAGTATCCGAGTCAGGTTGTGAATTGGGTCAGTTCACACATCTTTTGTCCTAAGAACTGTTGGATAAAAAGAGGGTGTCTTGGAAGTGGATTTTAGTAAAAGCAAATATCTTTGCGTTTTACAAGTGTCTGAATTTCTCACTTCTCAACTTTTGCCTCAAAGAAAGAAATTTACCAAACCCTTTCATGTGCTAGCATCCCAAAGCAAAGTAAGCCTTAACAAGGCAAACAAAGGCTTTGCTTATTCAAAACAGCATGGATAGCCTTGAAAACAGACACATAAACAGAGCCTAAGGTATTAACTTAGGTGGATTTTTGTCTTTCCTGCATTTGCATGCAAACAACAGTGCACCACTCATCCAATTCTGTCTCCTAACCGTAAAGGCAATTTTCTTTTGCTGTTTTCCTAAAGCAAGTGAACTAGTATTGGTTCCTGACAAGATGTAAATGGAGGCTGTAGTCAAGTCTGTACCACACCCTAAGTCTGATTCACATCTATATTGGAGGATTTTGAAGCCAGCCATCAATAGGACCAGGGTTTTGGCTCTCTTGGCAATAGGAGCTACACTAGGGAACTAGAC